CATGCAACTTTCTGAATGACATGCAGTGAAATGTTCTTGTTTCCAAGGAATCAGACAGTAGCTAAAATATTTACTGGATGTGATTCTTGATTTCATAGAGTATTAGGCAAGAAATCAAATGCACAGCAGGGTTTAAAACCAGAAACAGTAAGTGTTTGTTTTGAATACTTTGAGGTAAAAGTTTTCTAATCAAAATGTCATTTTGTCAGAATATATTTAGAGCATAAAACATATTTTGGAATACTATATTACTGCTGATATATTCTTTCTTTCTTGTTTTCTTTCTTTCTTTCTTGTTTTCTTTCTTTCTTTCTTTCTTTCTTTCTTTCTTTCTTTCTTTCTTTCTTTCTTTCTTTCTTTCTTTCTTTCTTTCTTTCTTTTGCTTTTAAACAGAACGCTGTACTCATTTGTACTCAAGCAAGTGACTAAGATTTACTCACACTCTCACTATCATAGTGCTAATTTTACCATTTTCTACATCATCTAGTCAGCCGCACCCGCTCTTTGGTAAGCAGATTCTGGTTCATTCCACACAAATATCATGTGCTCAGATAAAACTGGACAAACAGAGTGAAAGGGAGTGGTGAGAAGTCACATATAAAAGCCAGTTTCTTCAGGGTGAACTGTGGCAGCAGACAGGTGCACCAGCAGGTGAGTGGAAACACACAAATATCAACACAGATGGTCCAAAGCAGCAATTAGCTTATTAGTACGTGATGGCCTGAGCTATACATACACGGCAGCATATACTTTGTAACGTAGCGCCTTGTTAACAAAAGTGTTATTGCTTTGTGTTTTATTCAGGTCAATAATCTCAGACACCACACTTCTGATCCAGAATGCAAACATTCATAACGTTGTGTGCTCTTCTCCCGCTCCTCTGTTTTGTCCACGCAGATGTTGTGGAACGTTTTGAGGTTTGTTGGTTTCTTATTCCAGATTATCAGAATAATTAAATATGTGTCTTATCAAATAGCTTCACTTCTGTTACTATTAATTATTATGTATTTTATCATTTTGCCCCAGGATGCACCAGAATGCATGAAGTACTTTTACAAAGAAAAGGTGCCTGAGTTGGGAGCATCCACACCTGGTGCTGCCCGCCTCTGTCAGCGCTTTGTCAACAGGTAGTAAACCGGCAGAAAGAATACTTTAAAACTGAATCAGCATACACAGCATTGTAATGTGTACTCAGAATACTGTTTTTCTATGGTATCTTTGAAAATCCAACTGCTGCTTATCACTTTTAGAACGAAAACTTTCTTTGTTCTTTATTTATCATAGTAGCACTTCTGATCTATTGCTAATATTTGCACCATCAGGTATCACTTTGCCACACTGTATGACACCATCCATCGCATTGCTGTCTACTCTGCCTATCAATTCCAGCCCAGTAATGGAGGTGGCAGGGAGAACAGGTGGTTTGTAGAGCCACAGGTTTGTTCCACACGAGCTTATTTTGCATATATATTTATGTCAGAGAGAAAGTATGAAGAATATAGAGTCATAAAATTTACATTTTCTGTTCTTTTAGACATTTTTAGATCGTAAGGAATTAATTATTTGCTATCTTGTTTCCATGCATCTTAGCTGGTAGATCGGTCTTGGCAGGGAGAGATGAAAGATGGATACTGGCTGGGGCAGGATCACCCTGGTGTCTACCTTGGAGAGAGACAAGCTCTGAATGAGGACTACACAAATTCAGGCTTTGACCGTGGTCACCTCAACCCCAATGGACACCATCCAGGTTGTATGTTTTTCAGGAGGGTAGACAGTAGATGGCAGTACAGGACTGGGGAATTGTTTTTGACTGCAGCAGCTGAGGATAGATAGACTTAACTAACGAGCAGCATCTCCAGCCTTATGTTTCAATGTTTTCTGCTAAACATGCTTGAAATTTATAATTTTCTAGAATATTTTAATTGCTGAATGAAAATGACTAACCCACTTCTTGACTCATCGTGGCTCTCACCTTTTCTTTGGACAGAGAGACTTTAAGCTTGTCCTTCTTCTCCTTCTCTCCTGCAGTCCCTAGTCGCAACGCCACTTTTACCCTGACTAATGTGGTTCCTCAGAACCCCAAGCTGAACCAGAATGCCTGGAGGATCCACGAGTCCCAGCTTACTGAGCTTTTTCTGGAGAAGTGCCCTAAGGCGTACGTGCTGGTCGGTGCCATTCCTTCTGCAGACAGCTGGATTGTTAAAAACAATGTTAAGCGTGTCAACATCCCAGACTACCTGTGGAATGCCTACTGCTGTGTGGACAACAACGACAGACCCATTCAGAGCGGCGCTGCCAGAGCAAGAAACACAGAGGACAACTTGGTGGAGCAGCTCTCTCTGGATAAACTGGAAACATTCTTGCAGCAGTTCACGGCACAGCCAGTGGGAGAGTTGTTTTACAACAATTGCAGAGCATAAAAGCAATGATGGCAGTAAATTTAAGGATCTTTTAATTGTACATTGTTGTTTTACAGTAACCAATGAATCCTTACTATTAAATATTAAATAAATGAATAAAAATGAGAAGCACAAGGATAATGTGGTTATTTATTAGTAACTGTGTCGCAAAGGAAGGCGAGAAGGTTGTGCAGTCTACAGTACTGTATTCAATGTACACACTCGGCCCAATCGAGGGCCTGTGATAAAGACAGAGCAACAACAGGAGTCTTAAACCTGTAATTAAACTGTAAATGCTGTCATACAGTGAATAAGCTGGAAATTGGTGATTAAACTGACTCTCAGGAGGTGTTATATTAGCTACACTTTAAGCTGACATAATAAAATGTTACATATAAACCTACAGCTTAGACTTGCAAGGTAAAGTTTACATTGACTACCATTATGAGAAAGGCCAGGCAAAGCTTAACATTTTTTATTTAAAGACATTTAAAATGCTTCTTCAGCTTTACCATACGTAAATACAGCTCTCGGAACTACAGCATTATGTTTCAACGTTTTTTTCTAGACATGCTTGTATTTAATAATTTTCTACAATATTTGAAGGACTGACTAAGCCACTTCTAGACTCATCTAGACTCTCACCTTTTATTTGGACTGAGAAACTTGTCCCTCTTTTACTTCTTACCTGCAGTCCCTAGCCTCAATGCCACCCAGACGAATGTGGTTCCTCAGAATCCCAAGCTGAACCAGAATGCCTGGAGGATCCACGAGTCCCAGCTCACTGGGCTTCATGTGTCTTTGGGGCCACCCACATGTTCCAATACTGAGTTTCTTGCACAGCTGAAATACTTCAGGTCAGGTCAGGGATGACCCTCATACATACTGTTAGGTACATATATTTTTCGACACTGACACAAGTTTTTTTTATTACCTGTTCACTGCAACATATGCCAATTATAGTTATATAATGGACATAATATACAGACTCTCAGCGTCCACATTCAGATTGGGTGAAGGGTTTAAGAGTTTTAGCTCCTTAACATGTGCCGCCCTATTTTTGAAGGGAACAGTAGTAGTTGAACAATTGACTCAAATGCAGGTGTGGGCAGTTCCTTCATTATGTCATTATCAGTTAAGCAGACAAAAGTCCTGTAGCTGATTTGAGATGTGGTGCTTGCATTTGGAAGAGTTCACTGTGACCAGAGAAAATGCAATCCAAAGAGCTCTCCATGCAGAAAAACAAGCCATCCTTAAGTTGCCAAGAAAAGCCAGCACAGTTTAGGAAAAAAGTCAAATTGATTGGGTGTTGTTTTACAATATAGATGGACAATGACAAAAACATGCAGTCAAAGGAAGTCAGGAGTTTGATAAATCAAGGCCACTGCATAAAGGCCTTACAGAGCATTAAAAAGGAGGAAACCCAGCATCTGGTGATGTCCATGAGCTCAAGACTTCGGGCTGTTATTACCAGCAAAGCATTTTCAACCAAGTATTAGAAATGAACATTTTATTTTCAGTTCTTTAATTTGTCCAATTACTTTTCACCCTATGAAATGAAAGGATTGTGTTTGTTATGCAACATTTTTGTTCAACCGTAATTAACATACTGAAAATCTGAACTGCAGTTGTTTCATTTGAGGTTGAGCATCGGGCACCAGTGAGTAGTTTTGCAAAGAAATTGATCCTGCTAAGACAAGAATGTGGCAATTTAGATAGTTGATTAATGAGCATATGTTGCGACTCTATCATATCCACAACCTAGCAATGTTGAAGGAAGGCAAGAGTACGTTGACGTGGGCGTGAGAGGAAATAAATGCATTCAAAGTAGTAAGTACTGGGAGCAAGGCTGTGAATGATGGCTTCTTCATCATAATTATGTCTGAAAAGGAAAACAAACAGCCTGTGTTGCAGGAAGGTGTATATAGTAAAAAAAAAACAAACAAAAAAAAAAACGACAGACTTAATTATACAACTATTGTTTATTGTGTGCATCAGTTCTCAATTTAGAGGCAAAAAAATGAGTCCAGGTTGTCCCATAGCGATTGACAAGTTCAAAGTTCAGTGAAAGCATTACATGGTTATTACAGAGTGATAATTATGGGTTACAGAATTTTACAGACTTACTGAAATGCTACTTGCTGCATTAAAAACATGATTACTGATTAAACCAAAAAGCAACAGCATAACCACAGCTCACAGTCTAGCTGCAATCTGTGTGTATGCTAAATAATTACCTTTTTATAATTCACAGAGCTAAGCCGTTTTGACATTATGGCAACAGATCTTCACTTTGAGGAACAGCAATAATAATATTTAGCTCCTCTACACTGCAACCCAACTTACAGTTCTTCCCCTCCTCTCTTACAATCCCAGATATAAAAATAAGCACAGAGGACATGTTAATGTCCAAGTTTACTCAAAGAAATCTAGTTAAATTGGAGGGGTACTAATTTGGAGCAAATGATCAGTGCAAATACTGTGAAAAAAGCTACAACGTTCCTCTGCATGCAATAAATGTTATAAAAAAGATTAATATAAAGCGTTTAATGAACTAAAGTTTCACTCGTTACATTTCTTTATTCCGCAGTCGTGTTTAGTTCATCTGTACTGGGTCATGGGGTGATCATTCCAATAAGGCAGCTGGGACAGTTTCCTCTCAGTGGCTGTTTTGATGGGCCAGCCCCAGGCCTTGAAGAAGCCGGTCAGGTTCATTCCCACAGTCTGGGAGAAAGTCTCAGCATACAGGTTCATTTTTGTGCCGTTGTCATGAGGAAAGTTGCTCATGTGGTGGTACGCAGCAAACACCTTCTTAAAGGCATCCCAGCCAAACTTTTCCTGGAGCTACAGAAAAGGTAAGTATAACAACAACTTAAACTATTTGCTGTCTTTTATGTTAGGAGCAATAATCTCTTGACTAAAGCATCATAACCTGTTACGATTTAATGTTAGCTTCACTATAAGTCCACAAGTCTACATGGAATTGTCACCTATATGGCACACCCAAATCAAACTCTTTTAGAAGACAAAGTACATGTCAGAGATTTGATTTGAAAGGTGTCATCTTGTACTTTCTGACACTATCCTTGTTTAGCATGTGGCTAAAATACAACTTGAACCTAACTCTACCCCTAAGTGATTTGTTGGTGACTTGGTCGATTTTAAGTGTGACTGGATCAAATGGAGTTAGAGACTTTCAGTCTTATTCATATCAAGTGTTTTCTTTACTATGGATCAAGCAAAATTTCTCTATAATTTCTCACCTGCAGATATGTTTCCAGGGCAACCCACACACTCCAGTCACTGAGTTTCCTTCCTCCCTTGATGTACTCCTCTACTCGACTCTTTCGGTTTGCTAAAGTCAAATTACCATGAGCCTGCACCAAAGAACATGGAATGAGATAGTTGCTAAATCATGTGACCACAGAAAACTCAGTAATGAGTTTTCTGATGACGATTGATGTAAAAAAAAAAATGTTTTAAAATTAGTTTTAAAAACAATTGATTTACTCTACATGTGCTCTGTTGATGCCCAGCACCTCTTCATGCACATACACTGACCACAGGTTGCATGTACACTCTGTGGTGTGTGGTCGGAACTCCCAGCAGCTTCTCTGTTGGTTGTGTCCAAGTTCATGGATGGGGCCCCACAGTTGTTCACCTTTTTTAACACCAACTACTTCAGCAGCTGAGGCATGGTGTGCCATGATGGGATAACCTGAATGCATCAAGCCTTAACAGAAGAAAAGTAAATATAATGTTGCAGTATATTAATAATTGTTGCAAGATTATATTGCGAATACTTTGTGACAGAAAAGCTATAAAATGTCCATCCATCCATCCATCCATCTTCATCCGCTTTATCCGAGGCCGGGTCGCGGGGGCAGCAGCCTAAGCAAAGAGGCCCAGACCTCCCTCTCCCCAGCCACCTCCTCCAGCTTATCCGGGGGAATACCAAGGTGTTCCCAGGCCAGCCGAGAGATATAATCTCTCCAGCGTGTCCTGGGTCTGCCCCGGGGCCTCCTCCCGGTGGGACATGCCTGGAACACCTCACCCAGGAGGTGCCCAGGGGGCATCCTTGTCAGATGCCTGAGCCACCTCAGCTGGCTCCTTTCGATGTGGAGCAGCAGCTGCTCTACTCTGAGCCCCTCCCGGATGGCCGAACTTCTCACCCTATCTCTAAGGGAGAGGCCAGCCACCCTTCGGAGGAAGCTCATTTCTGCCGCTTGTATCCGCGATCTCGTTCTTTTGGTCACTACCCACAGCTCGTGGCCATAGGTGAGGGTAGGGACGTAGCTCGACCGGTAAATTGAGAGCTTCGCTTTTACACTCAGCTCCCTCTTCACCACGACGGACCGGTGCAGCGTCTGCATTACTGAAGCTGCAGCCCCAATCCGTCTGTCGATCTCCGGCTCCCTTCTCCCATCACTTGCGAACAAGACCCCGAGATACTTGAACTCCTCCACTTGGGGCAGGAACTCATCCCCGACCCGGAGTGGGCACTCCACCCTTTTCCGGCTGAGAACCATGGCCTCAGATTTGGAGGTGCTGATCCTCATTCCCGCTGCTTCACACTCGGCTGCGAACTGTTCCAGTGCGAGCTGGAGGCCCTCACCCGAAGGAGCCAACAGAACTACATCATCCGCAAAAATCAGAGATGAGATTCTGAGGCCACCAAAGCGAAAACCGTCCGCCACTTGGCTGCGCCTAGAAATCCTGCCCATAAAAATTATGAACAGAACCGGAGACAAAGGGCAGCCCTGGCGAAGCCCATCACCCACCGGGAACGAGTCCGACTTATTGCCGGCAATGCGAACCAAGCTCTTGCAACGGTTGTATAGGGATCAAATGGCCCGTAGCAATGGGCCAGACACCCCATACTCCTGCAACACCTCCCACAGGACACCCCGAGGGACACGGTCGAATGCCTTCTCCAAGTCCACAAAACACATGTAGACTGGTTGGGCAAACTCCCATGCACCCTCAAGTATCCTCGAGAGGATAAAGAGCTGGTCCAGTGTTCCGCGACCAGGACGAAAACCGCATTGCTCCTCCTGTATCCGAGGTTCGACTAGCGGACGAACTCTCCTTTCCAGCACCCTGGCATAGACGTTCCTAGGGAGGCTGAGGAGTGTGATCCCCCTGTAGTTGGAACACACCCTCCGGTCCCCCTTCTTAAAGATGGGGACCACCACCCCGGTCTGCCAGTCCACAGGTACTGCCCCTGATCTCCACGCAACATTGCAGAGGCAAATTGGCGGGTCATTCCCCTCATCCCCAGACTCTGCTTCCTCCTCGGAAGACGTGTCAGTGGGATTAAGGAGGTCCTCGAGGGTATCCTTCCACCGCCTGACAATTTTCTCAGTCGACGTCAGCAGCGCTCCGCCAGCACTATACACAGTGCAGGTAGAGCACCGCTTTCCCCTCCTGAGACGCCTGACGGTTTGCCAGAATCTCTTCGAGGCAGTCCGAAAGTCTTTTTCCATGGCCTCTCCGAACTCCTCCCACACCCGAGTTTTTGCTTCAGCCACTGCCCGTGCCGCATTCTGCTTGGCCTGTCAATACCTGTCAGCTGCCTCCGGAGTCCCACAGGCTAACCAAGCCCGATAGGACTCCTTCTTCAGCCTGGTGGCTCCCTTCACCTCTGGTGTCCACCATTTGGTTCGGGGATTACCACCACGGCAGGCACCAACCATCTTGCGGCCGCAGCTCAATGCGGCAGCTTCGGCAATGGAGACGCTGAACATGGTCCATTCGGACTCAATGTCCCCGGTCTCCCTCGGAATGCTGTTGAAGCTCTGCCGGAGGTGTGCGTTGAAGATCTCGCGGACTGGGGCCTCTGCTAGACGTTCCCAGCACACCCTCATTACGCGTTTAGGTGCACCAGGTCTGTCCAGCGTCCTCCCCCGCCACCTGATCCAACTCACCACCAGGTGGTGATCAGTTGACAGCTCAGCCCCTCTCTTTACCCGAGTGTCCAGAACACATGGTCGCAGGTCTGGTGATACGATTACAAAATCGATCATCGACCTACGGCCTAGAGCGTCCTGGTGCCACGTGCACTTATGGACACTCTTATGTTTGAACAGGGTATTCGTTATGGCCAAACTGTGATTAGCACAGAAGTCCAATAACAAAGCACCGCTCGGGTTCAGATCAGGGAGGCCGTTCCTCTCAATCACGCCCCTCCAGGTCTCGCTGTCATTACCCACGTGAGCATTGAAGTCTCCCAGCAGGACAACAGAGTCTCCAGGTGGAGCACCTTCCAGCACCCCCCCCCCCCAGGGACTCTAAGAAGGCTGGGTACTCTGAACTGCCACTCGGCGCATAAGCGCAGATGACAGTCAGGACCCGTTCCCTGACCCTAAGGCGCAGGGAACAAACCCTCTCGTCCACCGGGAAAACCCCAACGTACCGGCAGTAAGCCGAGGGATATTAGAATACCCAGCCCAGCCCGCCGCCTCTCACCAGGGGCAACTCCAGACTGAGACAGAGTCCAGCCCTCTCCAGGAGACTGGTTCCAGAGCCCAATCCATGCGTAGAGGTGAGCCCGACTATATCTAGCCGGTACCTCTCAACCTCACGCACTAACTCAGGCTCCTTCCCCACCAGAGAGGTGACATTCCATGTCCCTATTGCCAGTCTTGGCAGCCGGGGGTCTCCTGGCTGCCACCCGGCACACATTGCACCCGACCCCTATGGCGCCTCCTGCGGGTGGTGGGCCTGCGGGAGGATGGGCCCATGTCTCCTCTTCGGGCTGTGCCCGGCCGGGCCCCATAGACTAAGGCTCGGCCACCAGACGCTCGCCCTCAGGCACCCTCCCCGGGCCTGGCTCCAGGGCGAGGCCCCGGTAACCCTATCCCGGGCAGGGTAAACTGTTCCCTTGATATCCTTTTCATAAGGGTCTTCTGAATCGCTCTTTGTCTGGTCCCTCACCCAGGACCAATTTGCCATGGGAGATCCTACCAGGGGGCAAAAGCCCCCAGACAACATAGCCCCTGGGATCCCTGGGACACACAAACCCCTCCACCACGATAAGGTAGCGATTCAAGGAGGAGGCTATAAAATGTGAAGGAGAGAAATGAATCCGAATGATTTAAACAAAAGCCTTATATTATCACATGTTGTTATAAATTCCTACAATTTAGTTATTAACAAAAGAAGGGGCAAAATCCCTATTTGCCTTGTCGGCGGTCTTAATGCTTCAAGCTGTTCCAGAGGCCCTGGAGCTTACTACACTACATTACATTACGATTAGCACAGGGACCACTGTTGCCTTCACCCACCACATCTTCTCCAGCCCCTCTCTCAGCCCTTGGTGAGCTACTTGTGTTCCTTCTTCCTGATGTTGCATTCATTTGGTATAGCTTGGTCTATCATGACAGCCTTCTTGCTCTGCTAATTGGGGATGGCCAGCTGGTGTAAAGTGCACTTACCAGCAGAAATCTGCACATCTGTCACAAAGCGCTCCTTGCGAGGAAATTTGTGTGGTTTGGCAGCCAGATCTGCAATGGCCCTCGTCATTTCATCCCAGAGAGCGGCCACCTTGTCTGGGTGCTCCAGACCCCGAACAGCATCTGATGGTACGGTGAGGACGATGTTTTCAAACTCCAACTCTGCCCAGGGCCCAGGAGCCGTGCGCAGCAACGACCACTCAGCTGCAGTTGTCACACCTGAAAAGAATAAAGAGAGGAGCAGATCTATTATAATGCTTTGAATCATTGCATATTAAAAACATATATAAAATGTTCTATTCAAAGTACAAACTTGTGTGACAGTTCCGAGAAAAATCTGGCTTGTTCTTAAACAAAACTGTGGGACAATCTGCCTTTAGAGATTAGACAGGCCTCTAGTATAGTATATATATATATACTTATGTATATATATATTTGAATACAGGGCTGTTTTGATTTTTATTCATCATGTGTTTTATTTTTATTCTATTTTTTTGCTGTTTCGTTTTATCTAATTTTCTTAACTTAATTACTGTACAGTCCTTTGGTCCAGTTTTGGCTATTTTAAAGTGGTTTATAAATAAAGTTTGATTGGATCACAAAGTAAAGAATCTGTGTCATGACCCTGTGCCTTCTCGGCTGACTCTGTATGGCTACAAGTGTTTTTGTTGTGCTGCATCTCTCTCTCTCCCCTGCACTGCGCTCTACCGGGGCGGAGTCATGACGGCTCCAGCCCCTGGCTCGGACACCTGCAAGCAATCATCTCACTCACTCACTTCTTAAGGCGGCTGCTGAGAGTGCTTCCTCGCTGGATTATTGTGTAACACTCGTCAGTGTCATCACTTATCTGAGCCGTTTTTCGAGTTTCTGTCGTGCCACTACTCACCTGCCTTTCCTCTCTGTGCCAGGATTCTCGCCAGCCTGAGGACCGCCGTTGGTGAGCTAAAGCCGGAGTCCGAGCTACCTGAGCTTCAGTGGATGTTGTACATAGCCCTCTTCTTCCCGTGCCTGTGCTTCCCGGAGACCCTCTTCCTGTGCCCCCTCACCTGTATATATTCGCACCTGGTGTCTGTGTGTGTCAATAAATCACGAACTTAAGTGACGGTCTGCCTCCGAGTCCCTCCTGAGCCTGACAATCTGGTAATTCCATAATTTCTTAACCCTTTAGAGCCGGTCAGAGCGGGAACGCTCTGTTTTGCGTAACTATTTTTAAATCCCAGTAGCTCTGCAACCACGTAAGCTAGCGCAATAATTTTTTTTTGCATATGAAACCGGAGGAGTTGTACTTACATCTTATGCCATCAGCTTGTCCTAGGTCACAGTTTCCACATATAGCTTTGCAAAAACTGCATAAAAAGCGCTTGCAGGAACAAAAACATAATATTCCAGAAGCACGCTTTGCCGATCCGATCAACTGTTCATAACACTTCCTACATTGGAATAGACGTCAGCGCGAACTTTTGCATGTCCGCCATTACCTGCCCAAAACAGGAAGTGACGTCATTTTCGCGGAAATTTAGTTTTTTTTTTTTTTTTACCATCATGGCCTCAGGGCCTATACTGGTATTTTTAAAAGTTATGTTAGACTTTATGACTTTCTGTGTCGTTTCTGGGATGCTTAGGACTCATATTGCACTGCTGGAAATAGTTCATTTTGATACATATGCTGCTTTTTTGCAAATTTGCAGTATAATATTTATTTTCGTTTTTCCTGCAGTGTATAAAAATTGGTGTATTTCAAAAATAAAACTATGAAGAAACTCAAAATTAATTTCCTGTGGTGGGAAACTATTTGGTGCAACTTTTTTGTATTTACAGTTTTGAGGGATAAGCCTCTTAAATTTCTCTAACTAGAAATATATGTTAAAAAAGCAAAAACGATTTTCAATTTTTTTGTAGTTTATTGCACTTTTTTGCAATTTATGTAATTACTATGCACTTAATGAATACATATTATTAAAATCTGGGCTATAATTGTTGTATTGATGTATAGCAACTTGAAATGCTCCCAAAAATGGCACCACACCATGTAAAAATATAATATAAGCTCTGGCGGACTTGGTTCTATGGTAGGTCTTAAAGGGTTAAAGGCTTGTAACACAGGTGGATAAAAAACTCCAGATGCATCTCATATGAATAAATTCTTTAAATAAATAAATTTTGCTTTATCTAATTCAACAAATGCATTTCATTCGTTTCTTTAAACAGCCTATGGTGTAAAAGGCCTCTGAATAATTTAGCAAACTTTGTGAAGTCTTTTAGGAGAGGGTTTTACTTTACTGAAAATATATTGAGCTCAAGTTAATTCACCTGTATTGTCCAATAAAAACACTGTATGTTCAATCAGAATGAAGGTGATCCAAGTGAGACTCACCAGATATCTTCCATTAACTCCAATTAAGCAAACCTTGTACACTGTTTTAGACGAGAGGGTTAAGCTGTTAACTAGATTTTTGTTTACTTTTCTTTACTTAACTTTCAACATGTTGAACTGAAATTGTTTCACCTGCATCGTCCATTGAAAACACTTGGGATCAGAATGAAGGTGATCCAAGTGAATAAGATTAAGACTTATCAGATATCTTCCATTAACTCCATGGACACAAAGTACACAGCACTGTTATAAACCACAGACTCACCAGACTTGTAATATGGAACAGTTACAGCTTTCTGCACTATGATCTCCAACCCCTTCACTTGTGTGTTGGGTGGGGCCACCAGGTAGATGAGCCCCCCCCACAGGTTGGACACATGCAGCATCTCTGATGTAACAGGAAATCGCTCATGAACACGTGGTGGTCTCTTCAGCTCATCCTTTCTGTGTAGGTCATCAGTTTGACAGCCTATCTGAATCTGTAGATAAAATGGAAAATCTATTGGATATCAGGGTTTTGACAAAACAGATACATTTCAGTTCATTTTTTTAAATATAGCGTCAAATTACAACACCCGTCGCCTTTGCAAACAGCCCCATTCCTGAACACAGAGACACCTGTGCATTCAGGAAGGATTTACAAAGCAGTTTATAGATGTTATGAACAGAGATGGGCAGTTACACGTTACTTGTAACGCGTTACTGTAATCTGATTACTTTGTAAAGTAACGAGTAAAGTAAGGGATTACTATCGCAAAAAACGGTAATTAGATTACCGTTACTTTCCCGTAGAAACGCTGCGTTACTGCGTTACTAAAACCGTGATTTTTTTTTTGCGAGACTGTCTCATGACAATGACGTAAGCGAGTGCAACGTTCGTGACAACAGCTGTGTGCAGATCAACAATGGATAATATATCTAGTACGGGAGAGAGTATGAGCGTGCAGCGTTTAAAGCGTGGAAGTACTGACCTTACTTTGAGTTTGATTCCATAAAAAGTGACAAAAACATTAGTGTCCATTGTGCGTGGGAAGAAAACTTCTTTTTACAGCGAAAAAAAAAACCCTAAACAAGCACCGAGTGCGCTACGACGTAATGGGAAATTCACAGAGAAACTCGCGGATTCTTCCACTGACCGCTGCGGCACACCTGCACCAGGGCACAACTCCACCTACCCCACTCCTGCTTTACAGGTGAAAATAGAGCAACAGGACCGCTAGTCTTTGACTTTATTTATTTTCTGCTGTGTTTTACTTGCATCTATTTGAAAGACTGAGTGTAAACACAAAAAATATTTTATTTTATGTGCTGGAATGTGCAGAAAATAGGTTTAAATGTTAAACTAATTTCTTCAAGTCAGAGAATGTTGCATATAATTTAATTTTTACTTGATGCATAAAGTTAAAAGATTAAAACTGATAAAACAAGTTAAAAAAGAGGTTTTTCCATTTGATTACATCTTGTATGATGGATTATGCAGAAAAAGTAGAATTGGGCTGAAAGATCTATCACTTTATCACCTATTCAGGTTGTAAATCGTGTTTTAAAAAGTAACTAAGTAACTAAGTAATTTAATTACTTTTGAAAATAAGTAATCAGTAAAGTAACGGGATTACTTTTTGGGGAAGTAATAAGTAATTAGTTACTGATTACTTTTTTCAAGTAACTTGACCAACACTGGTTATGAACAAATTTTCTTTCTTGTGGTGTGCTATTAAAAAGCATGGACAGGTCTATAGATGACTGGGGCATGATATTGGATTGAGTTGAACTGATACAGGCAGGGAACAGAGGGCACAGTTCTGTGTGAGACTTTCTATTGGCTGAAGGGCTGATGCTGAAACAGATGTTTAGAGATTTGACTGAATTTCTTCTTTACGTATCATCCAGTTAAGTGAGACAGGTTTCAAGGGAGGGCTGTAACTCTATAGTTAACTATAGTTCTGCACCACCATTGGCCCCATAGTCGTGCCTCTTGTGTTTTGGACTACTGTTCCTTTCTTTTTTTTTATTTTGGATTCTGCTTTTATTTTGTTTTGTTTTGCATTTTGTGTGCTCCAATCCTGCCCGCTTCACAGATTTTATATACTTCACCGTCCAGTCCTTGTTGACAGTCTCAGCTGGCATTACCATGTCGGTACTCATACCAGGAGAGAGGTAGAGACCAGTGCTGATCCACTCTTCCCCATCTAACACACACACACACACACACACACACACACACACACACACACACACACACACACACACACACACACACACACACACAATGGCAATAGAAACAAATTAGCTTTCTATGTTTATGAAAAACATTCACAGATATGTCTTATTTGTATATAGCAAAGTAAGTCTGCACTTTCACTGGAATACAAATCTGTCATGAAAACAATCAAAGTATATTGTGGGATACAACAGGATACTTGATCAGAGTACATATACATGTATGAAATGTATGAAATCTGCAGGTATTTTATTTTTTAGATGTCTGTGAGAAAATCCATATTGAGTCCAAATTGAATATGTTAATGAAACAATGAGTATTGTGAAACAACTGTGAACAGGTTGCAGTCATATATTCACAGTTGACACATTTGTCCACAAACATGAAATCTGACCTGCTGTGGTAACATCGATCTTGAGCCTGTGGTTATAGACGTCTGGCATCAGTGGCCTATCCTTGATGAGGTAGGGCAGGAGAGCCTCAGGATTTAGGCAAAACTCATATACAGGTGATCCCAAACTGAGGAGTAGATGGTCTTTTGGCGTCTTTGCAGGGCAGCTGTCACTCACCTTGAAAGAAGAACATATTAGTGTAACATCTTAGTGGTTAACAGCTGCCATATAATGATCAGTGCACTAGTCCGTGTTGTTCAAATGTTTCTCTACTCACCTGTGGCAGGCCTGACCTCTTTAACATGTCAGTGAGTGCAGCCAACACTTGAGTGTAATAGAAGCAGCCACGTGCCTTTGTGCGCAAGTAAGCATCACAGTCGTTGCCCAGCTTTTTAAGACATCCCTCCTCATGCTTGCTAAGTTCTACACCTGTAGTCACATGGGCAGCGAAGCGGTGTAGAAGGTGGCGGAAGTGGTAAGTATCTTTAATCGGCCAGCTGGGTACAAAGGCTTTGTATGTTCCTGCACGGATTTTTGCTCCCAAAAGGCTCAATCCCATTTGGTTCAGGATCTTGTTCCCTGAAAGAAAGTAAAGCAAGTGTCACTTAATTTACTGAGTTGTATTGCTGGAAATGTCGTGACTGTGTTTTACACTCATCAGGAGCTTCAATCGAAGTGTCTTTGGACAAGATACTACACCATTGTGAATCTGTTAGCACAATACAACAGGTTTTAGGATTTAGACAAGAAGAGCTCTGTATCAATGCAGTGCATTGATGGTTTTATGTTTTTTTGGGTGAAAAATAAGAACACTACCAGTATTTCTGCTATGTGTATTGTGAAACCCTTGTTGTGCATTTTCATACCTGAGAAATCTGTAAGTGGATTTTGCCCAGGATATGTCTGCGCCCAGTACCAGGCATGTCCTCCAATCAGCAGGCCTCCTCCCTCTGCCACAAAGTTTTGAATTTCCTCCAAATGCTCAGTGATATACGCTGTACACACAAACACGCTGAGGTCTTTCCTGAAGTTTGTCTTCTCGCACTTCAGCCCAGACTCACTCAGAACTTTGAGTGCAGGATCCACCATGACACCAACAACCCCTCTGCGCCCTTCATCCAACCAGTGAATGGCATTTCTCCAAAATGGAGCCATGCTCTAAAATAAAAGAAGGAAAGCAGGAAGACAGACAGTCATGTGTACTTGTGATATATAAAATATTTGTCAGAACAGCCCACATTTCACCCTATCCCAGCTACCATAGGGCAAGAAGCAAAGGACAGATCACTAGTCTGTCAGAGGGCTAAAACAAAGAGAAAGACAACCATTCGCACTAAGATTCACACACACATTCACACCTATGGGCAATTTCGATTTTACAATTAACCTGGCTCCACTAACTGTGGACCGTGGGAGGAACCCAGAACACTCAGAAAGAACCCACGCAAACACTGGAAGAAAATGCAAACTCCACACAGAAATCTGGGATTTTAACTTTTAAAAAATTTAATTTTAGTACTCTACCTTGACTGCTAGATATGCTTCATGTGTAACCACAATGACCCGTCCTCGCCCATAGTAGGCTCCTGCCAGGAATGGACGTCCATCTTCTGTAGTTCCGATGGGAAATGCTAGCGGTCCGTGGACTAGAACCTCAGAAAATACACAATCAGATGGTAGGTCGAACTCTGAAACCCCTTGGAGTAAGAACTCTAAGTCATCCTTGAAGTCCTTTCCTGTCCTATAATTGAAAGGTGGAATGGGAATATGAAAGAGAAATAAAAATTAGAGATACAGTGTACAGAAGTAAATTCAGAATAACTGGATGAATTTCTTTTTACGAAAATTGTGTTGTTTTAAACAAAATGCCTGTTTGTCACTATGAATTTTGAGTGTAAATTGTATTATCTTAATGTGTTTTTACTATCAATACCCTGTAAATATATAGTCATGTTGTAAAATGACTATTTTAAATTTTACAAATTTGTTCTTGTAAAATGATTTATTATATGTAAATTAGCATAAAAAATCACTTTAGTAATACTGTTTCAAATAACAAAGAAAAAATATTTTTGCATTAAAAGTTTGGACTTTGGTCAGCTGTTATGTTGTTTTAAAGTGCTTTAAAAATAAAGTGAAAGTTATTATATGGAAAGTGGAACTTTTGGAAACGTGCAGTAAAACAGGACTACAGTGGACCCTCACTGTAACGTGGTTCACCTTTCGCGGCCTCGCTGTTTCGTGAATTTGCTTTTTAAAAAATGTTCTTCTTTTTACAGCGCATTGTGTTCTGCGTCCTGATTGGCTCTAGACCATTGTCAATCAATCTCGTGCCGTGTCTCCTGTACAGTACAGAATGCATTCAGCTTGTGTTTGACCGCTGAAGTGCAATGTCAATGAAACATTTTGCACCATCAAAGGCACCTGCGGTAGCACCCAAAAGGCTGAGGAAGATGCTAACAATAGCACAAAATGTTGGACTTCTGGACATGCTAAAGGAAGATAGAAGTTACTGTATTTTAATTTTATTTAATTTGATTATAAGGCGCATTAAGCGAAATAAAACAGTCAGATAAGTCAAACTTTTCTGAACTCAGTCTTCTTGCTTCCTCCACTTCTGTACCATTGATTTATTAATCTTGAATTCTCTGGCAGATGCTCTATTCCCATGTTCTGGACCTGAAAACAGGGTTTGATCTTTAGTTTCATTCTATGATACGAGATTTATTTTCCTACGAAGGTTTGAATTTGAGTGTTAAAATAAGAGAGAAAAGTGTGAAAATGTTCATGCCTGTCTAAGAAAAATGTATAAAGTGTGTAGTGAGGGGTTTTACAGCCTTAAAACTATAATAATTGTAAAAACTAAAGTTGGCTACTTCGTAGATTTCACCTATCGCATGGTTATTTTTAGAACGTAACTCCGGTGATAAACGAGGGACCACTGTATAGCATATACTCACGCTAACGACTTCCAGGAGGACGGGATCTGAGGGTAGACGGGCAGGTTCTCCACCTCACCACAACGCTCAGTGAAGTAGATTCCTGCCACCCCTGCCACTTTATTCCCTTCAAACTGATGCAGTGTGTTCTCTTTGGGATGATTTGCAGCCCAACTCCACGCCTGCCCAGCTATCAGCACCCCTCCTCCAGCTTTCAGAAACGCCACCAGCTCTGTTGGGTCTGAGCCCACGCTGTAGGCATCGGTCACATAAACGCCAACTCCCAGGTTGTCACTGAAAGCTCCCACAACTTCTACTTGGAAGCTGGGTTTTTGGAGGTTATCAGCAACAGCACTGACATTTCTCTGCACCCCTACTGAGAGGTTATCAGATCCATCACCTCTCAGCCAGGTCACAGCATTTTCTACCAGAGCAGGAAAGGCTGTCAAGTAGCCCTCATGACCCAGGACCACAATCCTTCCACTGCCGTACAGAGAAGCAGCCATCAGGACCTGACCTCGGCTGTTCATTGCTAAAGGAAAAGCATGGTCTCCGATCAGGACCAGGTCACTGGGAACACAGGGTCCCTGTAGGTCCAGCTCCTTCAGGCCTCTCATCAGAGAGGCGTAGGCCTCTTCATGTTGGCTTTTGAATGATTGGTTAGATGACATAGTGTAGAGGATTTACACTCTGTAGACTGATGAAGAAGATGGAGGTTAGGATGCAGAAAGAGGAAGTTGTTAACACATCAGGTTTAATAGTTTTTCTTGCCAAGAAAAACTATGCCAAGTTGAGTCGATGGAATAAAAACACACAGTAAACATAATATTTAAACTATTACTAGTGTGTTACAAGTCAAGACTAAGCAAATTGTCAAACTGTAGCTGGTGAAAAAATAGAAAGCTGTTCTCCACTGATCTTATTACAACCAAATACAACTTAAAAACACCAAGCATTTTTTTCCTTACCTGGAAGTTTTCTTTCTGTGGTACTGTAGCACAACAGTTTTAAGGAGAAACACGCTCTATGTTTCAGAAGAAGAGAAAGAATAAAAATGAAAGAAGAGAATGGTGCTGCTTATATAAGGAGATGTGATAAGGACAGTCCACTGATAAGAGGCAGGTCCTTTTATCAGCACCAAATGTGGCCATAAATGAACGTTTAATCAGAATGTGACGTTTCCTCTATAAATTTGCAGAGATCATTGATTTTTGAAATGTATTTCCACTGAAATAATGAAGAAATTAAATGTGTCACAGCTACTTCAGGGTTAGCAAGAAAGGAGAAGTCACAGAAATGATGATTTTGTTCAAGAAAATCGTCCTAGAAGCAGGTGAATTTGGCAGTATGGTCCTAGTAACTGACCAGGAGTTCAGTTTCTGGACCAAGCTGCAAATGTGCAATGAAAACAGTAAAAGTACCTCATTTTGCATACCCAAATACATTAGATGTCTAAATGTCCTTAATTATATTTCAACTTGTGTCTGCCTTCTTTCTGTAAGGCCAGCATCCAGTTTTAGATGAGGGAGTAAAGAGTGTGGCCAGAAACTTTATTACACTCATCCACCAAAAGTTTTGATGGAGGCAGTTCCCAGTTCCTCAAACAGAGCAAAGACAATCATATAAATCATTCATCATATAAACATCATTATCATTTGAAATTCATGTTAGCTTAAGTTTTTATATAGTCAAACCACAGATTTCCAAACACACACATATACAACTGTTCAATTTTCCATGGAAGACTGTACTTTATGTAATTTAAAACAGCAGTCCAGATTTTTCAAAAATATAAGAGAGATAATCCCATACAGCTTATGACAAAATTTGATCCGAAGTGATTGATGGCCCTAATCACGACCTTTTGACCTCCCGCCCCTCCCCCCCGGAAGCGTGTAATGAGCGTGACGAATCGCATCCGGAGAAGGGGGGTGGGAAACCCCCCGCGTGTCGAATTGCATCCTGAGAAGGGGGGGTGAACCCCGGAAGCGCGCCATCTGTTGCTAAGCGTGTCGAATTGCATCCTGAGAAGGGAGGGGGGAAACCTCCGGAAGCGCGTCATCTGTTGTTGGGAAAAAAAGTTTTTAGAGGGAGGGGGAAACCTCCGGAAGCGCGCCATCTGTTGGAGGGGAATAAAAAAGCAGAGAGGTGGAGTCCGTCACAATTTCTAAGGCACAGACACAAGATGGATTTCCTTCTGCAGCCCAGCAGCGTTCCTGTGTCCGATGAGATCTGCTCTCCCAAAGAAGAAGGCTTTGAATATGACATATTCAAATACAGCATATTTACTATGGAAGGCCTCGATCCGGACCCTATGACCCTACCGGAAATACTCCGGAAGTGTCTAGTCATTTTCAGACCTGATGCGTCATGTTCCCTAAGCACAGCGGTGATGCAGCAGATGATTCTGTGATGTATAGAGAGACAGAGCGGATGTAATTTTACTTTCTTAAGCTGCACCGGCGTTTGTAATGGAAATAAAGAGTGACTTCCTGTAGAGATTTCAATAGTATTTTATTTTCCTATAATACAGACGCTGTAAAAAACCTTTAAGATACACCATAGCTTGTGATGAAAAGAAGAACTTTCTATCCGCTTGTAACCTACAGGCTGCCTATGTGTAAAAAAAAACGAATAAATATCCCTTAGTGAATACTACTTTTCCTTTTGAGAGACTGAAAAACAAACCATGTAACCTACAGGCTGCCTATGTGTAAAAAACGAGTAAATATCCCTTAGTGTAGTGAATACTACTTTTCCTTTTGAGAGACTGAAAAACAAACCATAATTGCAGCGACAGGCGATCTTGTTTCACACACACACACACACACACACACACACACACACACACACACACACACACACACACACACACACACACACACACACACACACACACACCGCGGGCCAAGGAGGAGTTTTTTTCTTCAATACTTTAACAATAAGTTTTCTCAATAGATAGAAAATGATGACGCTGAGGAGTCCGATATTATCATTGCTTGTAACCCGGTAAATAATTTCGTACATCTCCCCATAAAACAAGTCTTAGTGGAAAAAAGCTCATATTAGAATAAGTTTATTCCCCTCTGTGGGAAAGAGTCAACCATGAGGCGAGTTTTGTCAACAGCAATTGTCCATTTGGTAAAACAAATATCCGCCTCAAAGTCGTACCTGTGGTATGCTATGTCTTCTAAAGCACGTATAATGTAAACAGAACTGGTCTTTGCACAGAAGCCTGTGGAGCTTCATAATTAACCTCAGTGTGTGAAGAGGACTCTCCATTTAATAATAGCTGTAATAAAATGTTCTGGCCGACGGTGTTAAATGCTGCACTTGGGTCTAGCAAGGAAGATTTCAACTTTTCAATACGAATGAAGGCTGAAAACTGATTAGATTAATGTCTGATGATCTTTTTCTGTGCTTCTTCAAGTTTGTAACACCAAACATATTAAAGGATGATGTAAGGCTCACAGGAAGAGTTTAATTAGACACACATTTACTATTTTTCTTTATACTCTTTCTTTCTTGACATGTTTAATATGATTACTATCAGAGGAGAAAATGAACCTTGTGTAGTCTAAAAACTTTTTTATTTAATCAAACTGTAATGTTGTTGAACTCTGACGGACGTGTCTTTTAATCTTGTCAACAAATCCTTAATCATCTAAATCTGCCATTTATCATCTTGTAAAATGTTCCCTCTGCTTCTGTTGCACATCTCCCCCCGACACTCTCTGCTTCACCAGCCCTGTGCAGGTGGTCCAACCCCTGCCTGCCTCCTTAAACTGGGGTGTTTAAATCTCTTTACCTCTGTTGTGAACTTCACACAAAGTTTGTGGTAACAAAATCAAACTGACGAGGATCTCGTTTGAAAAACACACACACTCACGAGACAAAATAAAAACAGACTGCTCAAAGCAAAAGCAGAGCCCTCACAGCTGGTAGTACAAACACAGTGACAACATGCGTATTAGATACCCTCAGTGCCAAAAGCATAAATATGAAAAAATGTGATCACCAAGAATATCCTAAAAATGGCGTTGAGGTGGGTGTTACAGTAAAGAAAAAAAAAAGTAGCCAAATTTTCATCGGAAAATGTTGAATTTTAGTAAAAACAATGCTCTGTAGTTTGATACTGTCGTTACAGACAAAGCAGATGTTTAAAGCCTTTGGACGCACATTTGAAATGCACTCATTCTCCTTATCAGCTGGAAACATTAAAGCCGTAAAATGACTTTTTCAAACGGATAAAAACTATTGAACAGCAGCAATGTTGAGCCTGTTCCAAAATTTGAATGTACATGTGTTGAAGGTGCGGGTCTTGTTGAATTATTAAACATACTTTCTTTAATTTTTCGAGCCACAAAAACAACAACTTTTAATTTTCTTCTGCTTGAGTCTCGGCCTCGGGTAGCTCTACTTATCATTGCTCAGTCAGTTGTCTGTTTGTGCTACTTTTTTTCAAGGAGCAGTGGATTATTGGTAAGGGTGACTTTATGTGTTTAGTTACTTAAGTGGAAGTACTGTGGAAAGTTTTACCTTACATACATAGATCTACCAGTACAGCTTCTGAGGTAACTGTTTACAAAATGTTATAATCTATTCAAAGGTTCTTTGCAATTTTACATTGATAAACATTATCCTTAACACATTTGGCCCACATAAAGTACTATGACCATCACACTGTCATTTAGAATTGTTTAAATAACTCGTGTCTTAAGTCCTTCCATCAAACAGAAAATTAAAAAAAAAAAAAACATGGTTCACTTTTATATCACAAAATGTTAGAAATATAAGCCGTTCATAACAACCTGAAAGGTTGGGAGTTTAAAATGCAAACCGATGGAAGCAGAAGTAGAAGACTATAATGTCTCAGAGCACACGGTGTCTATTAATGTGTAGACATGTATAAATAAGAGCTTAATAAAGATGCTTAATTTCTTAAGAAATAAACAGGTGGAGTGATCTTTATCAAAAGTGGATGTTGCATCTGTGGCTAAACCCCTGTACCCAAAAAAACTTTAAAAATCTACTGTGTGTGAGGCTGTGTAAGTAAAGCTTGCCCTTCACACCTGCGTGTAATAAACCATTTGTTGGGGGTTGTGGATTTGTCACCTCAGCATTGTGAAAGTGGGGAAACATGTTTCTGGCTGTGCATAAGATTCCTCCTTACAACTTAGAATCTCAGTTCTAAATGAAATTCAGATGTTTTTTTTAAGTATGGCTAATGTATTAATTGACTTCTAAGGCACACACACACACACACACACACACACACACACACACACACACACACACACACACACACAAGAACAACACAGAGAAGAAGAAGAGGGGGTCGTTTTACTACACATCATAAAAACGCAATCATTCATCTTCCAACTGTATCTTTCTGTTCTGGCTTTAGAGTCATAGGTTGTTTACTGAGCCGTACTTTGGGAGTCATACTGTTGTGATACTGAGGAGAAAAGGGTAAGGTTTGATAGACTAAACCCTTACACACATAACTTGAATAACCTAAAGAGTATGTGAGACTGCTAGCTGTGTTGTTCAGCATTAAACTCATCTACAAATGTGTTAGTAAAGAGCGACTTGTACTTCTGTCCCATTAAGCAACGGTTTAACAAATTTCACTGCAAACTATAAAAGGAATCTGGATTTATATAGAACA